CAATGAAACCTATGTCTAAATTAAACATCATGAACAACTAGATCAAAAACTTTTGGATTAAGAAAAGCCTAAACCTTTTTCATGAAGTCATTGTGTTCCCAGAAGCTTAAAGACTCCAAAAAGCAAGTATATGGTGTCTTTTTTTTTAACATATTTAAGCTAACACACATACTGTCTCAAGAGCCAGTTTACAAAGAATATGTTTTATATTCCTAGAGTATTGAGGAGACAGATTTTATCAAGCATGCTAACTTTGCTACAACAAGACAAAGTCTGAAATAAGTGTTTCAGATTATCTTAAATAAAATCTATTTACTGTTTCTCTATGCGGCCCTTTGATTGATTTAAATATCTTGATTTGGCCCTCTGGCAAAAAATGTTGCCCACCCCTGATCTAGACCCTTCAGCACCATGGGTCCATGTTGGCCACTCCTGGCACCCTGTTGCCAGGAAGCTATTTAACAGCCTCAGCAACTTTTGCTGATATAATGAAATGGAAATATCCAGAGTCGCCATACTCCTCAGCAGAGTTAGGCACAACATGCACAAAACGACAGCATTCAAATTTTCATGAACTTTGACCTTAATGAGTTTATTTTAAACCTGAGTGTAGCTCAAAATGGCAACAGTTAATAATGTTTTATACAGCTAAACCTGAAAATGTTAAGGATTAATTTGATTTGCTTAATGCAGATAAAATACACATTTTTCCCTTGAGAGAAAGATGTACTTGTACAATTACACTACACTTTACACAGACCTCCATGTGTCAGTACTTCTACTTTGGTGAGAATCCCTCCTTCATAAAGTGCAAGCCTCTTCACTTTGCTTTTAACTTTCTTATAAAAACTGAAGTTAAGCGTCAAAAGTGTGCACACTGAGTCTGAATGCAAACAATCATTTTAGATATTCAGAATGACATTTGCCTGCCCACAATCAAGACTTCATCCATCCATCCATCCATTATCTTTACCCGCTTATTCCATTTTGGGTCACGGGGATCGCTGGTGCCCATGTCCAGCAATCACTGTGCGAGGGGCGGGGTACACTCTGGACGGGTCTCCAGTCCATCACAGGGACACATAGAGACACACGAGACAAACAACCATTCACTCTCTCACTCACACCTAGGGACAATTTAGAGTTACCAATCAGCCTAACATGCATGTTTTTGGTTTGTGGGAGGAAACCGAAGTACCCGGAGAAAGCCCACGCATGCACGGAGAGAACATGCAAACTCCACCCAGAAAGGCCCCCAGACCGGGCTTTGAACCAGGGACCTGCTCGCTGAGAGGCAGCAGCTCTACCAGTTGTGCCACCGTGCTGCCATCAAGACTTCAATTAAAATAAATAATTTTTTTATTTTTTCATTTTTCCAATTTATGTGTTTTGTGGTTGGATCTAGAATTAACAGTCAATATCTGAAGTTGATTTTTAACTCATTTCAGGCACCTACAATCATACTATTAAGATTTAAATATGTCACTGTAAATATACTAAATGGTAAATTAGCGTTCAGATTTTACTAAATAGGCACAAATAATAATATCTGATGCACATCATCTGCCAAAATGAACAATTACTTTTAGAAGACTTTTCTTTGTGAACATTTATTAAAACAACATGAACTTATTCATTTTTAGTGTGATTTTAGCTCAGTGTTTTTAAGTAGTGAACTAAAAACATAAATTAATAACTTTTTATTTGTGTGAGCTGAACTTTGAACAAGTTCCACTGAACTAGTTGTCTAACATTGCTTCTCAGCTGTGGACTTGCTGACTGGGTTAATGAAATCTTCAAGCTCTGCTTTCCTCTTCCCAGTCATCAAAGTTTGCCAAAACCTCCCTGATACCAACCAGCAGTTGATTTAATGACCTCTTTAAATTCATCCCATGCTCAACATTTTGCTTGTACAACCACAGAGGTCACAGTCCATCTGGCCATTTAATAACATCTTTAGGGGTCCTTGGGAAAGCCAAGCCCTAAAAAGCTTCTTCTCAGCTCGACAACTTCCATCTTTACTGGTGTCCACTAAAACATTATTCAGTTGCTGCTACACACCAATGACGTCCTGGTCATAATTCCTGACAGCCACAACCGATACTGAACAGAGCTCATTTAGATTCCATTTCCCCAAACTCTCATAGGATATAATGCTTTCCCAGAAGTGTGAGTTGAAGATCTCACACACAGGACATTCCACCAAAGGATTCCAGTTCACCCTTACTACTCATTTAGATTTTACAGGTCTTTCCAGTAACTTCCTCACCACCAGTTCTAACTCACCATCAGATGGTGATAAGTTAATGGCTCTGGCCCTTTTTTACTCACGTGTCTAAAATATAGGGCTACAAATCCAAGGATCTGCTTAGATGATACAAAATAATCATCAACCTTTGGGCCAAGGTAACACCTCCATGGTGTTGGTTATGAACCCCACATCTAACAAAAAAAATCTAATAACACAACACCACACTGATTCAGATCAAGGAGTAAGTTCCTCTCAATCCGATCCCTTTAGATGACTTCATCTTGGGCCACATAAGTAGCTTTTTCAAGAAAGATGCAGTCTCCAAATAGTACTTTCCAAGACTGCCAAAACTTTGGCAGCACAATGGATCAGTGGTTAGCACTGTTGCCTCACAGCAAGAAAGTCCTGGATTCAATCCCCGGTTGGACCTGAGGTCTTTCTGTGTGGCGTTTGTATGTTCTTCTCGTGCTTGCGTGGGTTTTCTCTGGGTACTCCAGTTTCCTCCCACAGACCAAAAACATGCATGTTAGGCTGCTGTCAGGCCCAGGCCTCCCTTGCAAAAAAGATCTGTGATCTCAATGGGATTTGCCTGGTTAAATAAGGTTAATAAATAAATAAATAAATAAAAGGCACCAACCAGAGACGCCAAGAAGGCTCTGATACTCTGAATTGCTGTTTAGTGAATACCAACAAACAACAGTCAGAACCTTCCTTCTTGCAGCTCAGAGCTCATTCAATACAGATAACTCCAACATCAAGGTGCTCAGCCAGAGCTTGTGCATAAATCCACATTCACCTCGCACCTCACCCGCAAGGAAACTCCAAAGTAGGAAAGAGCCCAGCCCTTCTGCATGAGTTTGATACTGGAGTCTGCAATGTGCCCAAGACCAGCAAAACTTAGTTGGTATTGCTGAATTCCATAGTTCTGGCTCTTTTCACATGAGCAAGGTGACATTCCACACACCTAAATTAGCTTACTGTGAATTAGCGCACCCATGCTCCAACTCCGACCAGCAACCCAGTTCACAATGTGTCTGTTATTGACATCTTTCTAAGGACCAGTTAGAGGTGGATTTCTCTAGTTATTGTCATTGATTTTTTGTGGGGGTGGGGGGTCTCCGTAGACCTTAAGGAACAAACACTTAGCACCAGACACTCAGACCACCAGCAATCGAGTTTTTTCAGGAATGTTTTGCTAGCAACAAAAGGTGCATGTTTAAAGAGACTGGCACTCATGATCTCAGCTATAATATAGATAAAGATACAGATTCCTTAACTGCCTACATAGAAAAGTGCACAGGTGATACCACAGTTATCAAGAACTTTAACAAGCCATAAATGATGTAGAGATCTGGGAATGGCTCAGATTTATGGTTGCAGCCTTTAGTTCAGAAGTAAGCCAACAAGAACGGACCTTTTCCTATGCCACCAAACAGTCAAAAACTCTCCCTCTACAACTAGATTTTGAACTTTCTATCAGAAAAGCAATAAATGGGCAGTAAGACACCAGACTCTGCTAGATCAAGCACAGGAGTCACTCAAGGATGTGTGCTTAGTTCCTTGTTCTTTACTCAGATGATATGTAACTGTGCTGCCTCGGTCAGCAAAAATCTGGCTAATATTTTGTCTGTTCACTGTTTGCTAATGATAAAATGGTAAGACTAATCCACAAAAAGAACAAAATATTATACAGAGCAAAGATGGTACACTTAGTGAACTCGTATGAGAACAACAAACTGTTCCTTTATGTCAACAGAACTATAAAACTGATTGTGGACTTTGGCATTAGACTGCCAATGAGTCAGTCAACCAACCAACCAACCAACCATGCAAGATCAATTAGCTATTTTCTGCTGTCTACAATTTTAAAATAATGTAAAGCTGCTCTTTAGTAGTGTTAGTAGGGGTAACAGGATCAGAGTTGTCATGTTCAAAGGTGATGACAGGAGCAGCAGGTCCTTACTGTTGTTAGTAGCTTTCTTTTGTTAGGCTACACATGGGGGTTGTGCCACATGTTTTACCTGAGGTTAGTCTCTGAGATACTTCTTTGGTGCAAGTCCTCTTCTTCCTCCACCAAATCTTCCTGATGCTCCTTTTCCCTGTCTACCTTCCCTTCTAACTCCTTGTTTCCTCCCTGCAATCTCCCCTCTATTATAGCCACTTTCCCCCTTTCTCCTCCCACTTCCTCTTCCTCCTGCACCTCTCCTAAGTGCTCATCCTCCTCCTGTGAATGGCTTCTTGATTGCAACTGGCTGAAGACAGAAGCAAAAAGAGCAGCACATGCAAAGCAGAAAGAAAACCAAAGCATGAACAATGTCAATAAGAGAAAAACAGACAAACATGGAGACAACACAGCCAAGAAAGCAGAATGAATCGAAACAACAGAAAACATGAACGCAAACACAGCAATGTGTCATGCAACAAAACTGCTTTAGACAACATACAAATACAATCTATTACATGTTTAAAGATAAGAAACTCAAACTTCCGTACAGCTTCAATGAGCAGAGTTCATCCATTTGGTCCCAGATTTTTGAAAATGGAGCCAAACATGAACTCTTCTTAAAAATGGACACATGGAGCTGCAGGTAAATTTTCTTTAGGTTAAACCAGAAGCAAACATTGAAAAAAATGAAAGCATCTGGACAAACTGACAAGCTAAACACTAAAGGGGATTAGCTCATTTTTGGAAACCATTCCACAAATAAACATGTAAAACAATATTACGATAATGCGGACATCAGCCTACCGGATCTTGCGGCTTCCTTGCGGTCTCTCTGATTGGACAGACATGTAGCTCGTGCTGCTGAACCGAGAGGCACTGCTAGTTCTCGATACAGCGGACACGTCACTTACATCACTGTCAGACGACTTGGCGGACAAGTTGTCTGAGCCTCGTGGATCTCTGCCTGATCGCTGCAAAGAGGTGGACAAAGAATCAGGCTCTGCTCCTTCCAAAGTTTACCTTGAATTTATTCACACCAAATTAGTCAAAGAGATGTCATGGAAGTGTACAGATTTAAGTGTTTTCAAAATAGCTGACAGCATCTCTTTAGTTTGGTGTAGACAACTGTTTATGATGACGAGAGTACTTAAAAATAAAGCACCAACTGCAAACAAAGTAAACTAACAAAGAAAACTTTGAACAAAAGTTTACTTTTTAAGAATTAAAAAAGAGTACCACTGATGTTGCTACATGAAGTTTTGTAGGTGGGCCTTTAAAGTAAAAAATGCATCTGTTTACACTTTTAGCCTCTCACTTATTTATTTTCTGTAGTCATTCTTTATTATTAGAGAGTATGAATTGAAACACCTTGGAAAACTGGCATGCAGTTCTCCCACCTCCTTTTGGGTGACATCCATTTACCTCCGACTAGAAGAAAATACAAATCCTAAAGTATTTATTTAAAAAAGAAACAGTAAATAAAACAATATTGTTTGAAGCTTCAGAGTGCCAAAATAAAATGACCTGCCCAACAAACACTTGAATCATCATGTGTGCATTTTCATCAAAGAGAACAAACAGCGCCACCCAGTGGTCTAACATGTCATCTCCTGTCACAGGGGAATTAACTTCTGACATTTGTCTATTTTCTCTTTAATGGTCATCTTTATTCAACAGTTTAATTAGTCTGCCCAGTGTTTAAGTTACAGTAAACTAATAAAATAATATTATTCCTTCAAGTCACTTAACCAGTCGCTACGGAAGTGTTTAAGTTACGTAACATTGTTACAAAAATACTGCCAAACTAGACAAATTCTACTTTATCAAAATAATTGTTGAATTGACTTAACTGAATTGTTGTTGTTGTTATGATCACAGTGTATACATAATGATGGTAAACATCAGCCTTTACAGTTTACCAAAGCTTCTCCACTGCTTGCCTGGAATTATAAAGTTCTTGCTTCGTTTGCTCCTTTACATTTATAAAAGCAAAATGGAAATCTGCATAAAAATATTTCTGAACAAAATGCACTGCAGAAAGTTTAGGTCAGGTCCCTACTATTTCAAATTTGGCACTGACATCATATGTTTTTACCCAAAAAGGGTCAAGAGTGTAGAGTAAAAAGATGTTTCTTCTATCCATCGCAAGTGTCAACAGGTGAGAGACATCTACTCTTTAGACAAGCCTGTTTAATTTTATTCTTCTTTTATTACTGCTCAGTAAATATATTTTACTCAATAAGTTATAAAAATTAGAAACTGTGATGAAAAAAATTACTTCAACATATTATTTTAAGCAAATGACTGCAATCTGAGAATAACTACAATAAATATGAGCTACAGATCATGTTTAATTTGAATAGAGTAGTTTATATTTTTAACTCTTTTCATACTTTTTGCCCATGTCCCTCTGTTGTGACCAGACCTCATAGTTCTCAGGCAAAATGATTTTCTGGGTAAAATCGCAACCACAATTTAGGAACACACACACACACACACACACACACACATATATATATATATTTTTTAAATGTATTTATTTATTATATATATATATATATATATATATATATATATATATATATATATAT